GAATCCATCTCTTCTCCCCCAAGCTATGGGTTAATTATTAAAGACTTGTATCACTAAGGAGGCACGGTGGAGTATTGGATAGCAATTCGGATCCATTACACTCACGTGCTAATATCCTTTGGAAAGGTATGAATACTCTTCTACGCCCCCGCCCACGCCACCGCCCCCGCTACCAGGCTGGTAAATAGCAGGACAGACTGGTTTCTATGACCTTGGGTGGCAACCGGTTCTAGGAGAAGGAAAAACTCTGTATTCAAAAGCAGCCTGGAGAGGATGGGCTGTGTTAGGCTATCTTGCTTCTGACGAAACCCAATCCTTTGCTGCAGTACACATTGTGCCCCCTACAACCCTACGGGTCACGGGATATAAAGCAAAACACTAAAACATTATTATCTCCAAAAATAAAATATTTACATTACGCATTAACTCACCCGTAGATGTTGATATGCTGCTAAACAAAATATTGATATATAAAAATATAGTTTTAAGATATGCTATATTTTATGGGTTAAAGTGCTGAATATCAAAGATAGAACGTATGTAAATATAATGGTAAGTACTGTGGTATATATTCCTCGGCGACAGTCATGCCATAATTCAGATTAAAAGTTAAAAGATGTATGTATATTTGTATATGGATGGTATAATGGTCAGTGGCTCGGTTCTTTACCCATTTTTTCGCACAAATACTCTTGGGAAACGTATCAGTCCAATTCTTTTCTCCCCAGCTATGGGTAAAATAGTACATCTGACTGGTCTCTTCATTATCTGTTAGCAAACAGTCTACGGTTGTGCCTGGAGCAATTCTATCCTGGAAAAACCTTCCAGCTACGGAAACCACATCTATTTATCTATCTATCTTTCTATCTCTATCTCTCTTTATACTAACAGTATTTTTCGCTTGGAAAACCTCGTATGACTCAACTTGTAGACACCTGAGGGCAAATTGGTACCCGAGGAATGAATAGGAAGCAAAAATAAGAAAGAACTAAAAACATCAGAACAAGGCCACAAAAATCGTCAAGTGTTTGAAGTCCTTAGGCCAAAGAAAAAAAACTCAACAAACTATTAGATTAGAACATGCAAGTTACCACGACAAAAATGCATATTTGTTTCGACGTCTAAAGACGACTCGTCAGGTGGTTAACGATGGTGATATAAAAGATTTTATTTAAAAATGCAATTTATGAAACATCACTTCTTTTTACATTTTTGAAAATTTTCCATAGACGGCAGAGAAACAAATATATATAAAAAATTATTCATTCCATAAAAGGAAAGGAAAGAAAAAAGCAAGTTAATGTAAAAAAATAAAATAAAATACGATAAGAAATCAATAAAAAGAAAAAGAAAGAGAAAAAAAAGGGAAAGGCATAAGAAAGCATCAAAATCAACCCTAATACCAAGAGAAGGGAAAGAAGGAGAGGTGTATATCCAAATTTTACAGATTCAAAGTAAAAGGAAAGAGAAGAAAATAAGATATGAGAAGTTGTTGATACCCGATTTAGCCAATGAAGACTCGTTACGTTGGAGAATTCAAAATTGAACAGAAATATAACGCAGCAAGATAGGAACATATTACATATACAATGTAGAAATTCAAACTTTATGACATTTTGAATGAAATCACATATTCAAACAAAATCAAACATAGTACGTAAATAAAAGACACTTTAAGAAAAAAAAAACATATACGAACAAAACAACTACTTAACTATACCAAACCTTCATTATAAATAAGAATAAAAATTCATTTTTAAACATTTATGTGGCTTTTATATATTTATTTCAAATTAAAAACCATTTTCAAACAACATCACAAGTAAATAATTATAAGCCAATTACATTAAGTTATTGTACGAAACAAATAAGAATCTGTACTATCATTACAGGTAATATTGTTATATAATTTCAATGATTGAATGTTATGTGATTTAATTATTTTCTGTAGATTGTTAGTATAACTATAGCTAAGTTCTAGAATATTCTAGAAAGTTTTACTTAATGAATTACTTTTAGGAAGATGTCTATCAATGATGTTAAAAAACCTATGTCCCAATTTAGTACGAACTAACTGATTGAATGGAAGTGTATACCATATGATCTTTTTGTTTCTGTTTTTCTTCCTGGGACAACTATAATCTTCTACAAACTTAATTTCAGAAGATTTGAACCCATTATCTCTAAGAACTTTATCATATTCCGTTTTATGTTTCTCAAATATCTCTTTGTTCTTTATCTAACAAGTGCTCTACTCTTTTACCATTTTTGTTTCGGGAGGGGATGATCCTTCAGTCTCATCTTCAGGAGATGAAACACATGCTCTATTAGGTTATGGTCCGGTGATTAACTTGGTCAGTCTAAAACTGTCCACTGTTTTGCCCCTTTGTTGTGGTGGCAATATAATTTTAGTCATAGTCCTGCTGTATGATTAACTTCCTTCCAATTAGTTTGGATGCATTTTTCTGTAAATTGGCAAACAAAATGTTACTGTGGACTTCTAAATTCATTCTTCTGCTACCATCATGAGTTACATCATCAATAAATTTGAACGAGACTGTTCCGGAAGTAGCCCAAGACAAGACACTGCCTCCACTATGCTTCAAAGATGATCAAAAGCAGATCCTTTCTTTTTATACATTTTAGACTTTGCATTACTTTGGTAGAGATTGTTCTTGAACCCATCAGTCCTTGAATCTTTCTTCTCGAACTTTTATCGCTCATCTCTGTACTTTCTTCCAAACTCCAATCTGGCCTTCTGATTCTTACTGCTGATGAGTGTGTTAATTCTTGTGCTCTGGCCTCTATATTTCTGTTCTCGAAGTCTTCTTCGAACGCTGGATGGTGAAACCTACACCTCTGCACCGTGGAGGTTGTTGGCGATGCCACTGACTGTTGTTTTGCAGTTTTTTTCTCACATCACTCACAATGTTTCCGTCATCAATTGCTGTTGTTTCCCTTGGCCGACGTGTTCTATATCTGTTGCTCAGTACACCAGTAGTTCCTTTCTTTTCAATTCATTCCAAATCGTTCTGCTGGATATGCCCAATGTTTGTCCAATGGCTCTGAACAATTCTCCTTCTTTTCTCAAATTTAAAATGGCTTGCTTTTCTCTTATAGACAGTTCTCTCGTCTTCATATTTGTTTATCCTTTTTAACAATACTTTACGTCCTGGGTAAGACGTTAAACTACTATCCGCGTCCTGAGTAAGACGATAAACTACATCCAGCAGCAAGGCCTCTGATCATGAGGTTTTCAGGAGTGTGGAACGACCTCTTAATTGCTGGTGTTCCCAGGCCCACCCTGACCCGGGGTGGTAGCACCTGTTAGGATCCCAGCTATGGGCAAATAGTTAACTATTACCAGCAATACTTTTTTTGAAAAAAATATTACCAGCAATACAATTTTGAAGGAAAAATATTACCAGAAACAGATTTTTGACAAAACAAAATATTACCAGCAATAACAAATGTTGTCGTTATTAAATAACCCATTAAGGTTGAAAACTAAACCATTAACAATACTTTACAGTTGAAACCCAGGGCTAGAACCAAGAATAGTCATTCAGAGTTATTTAATGTTTAAACAATCAATCTAAAAGGCAACAACTTGGACAACAAGCAACACTTGTGAGTCACACGTTCCAATAGTTTTGCTAACTTGAAAAATGGGTGGATTCAAACAAAAGGTGGTATGTTCTAAGTTGTTTAACGCATCTAAATGTAAATACCAGGAAATAAAAACTAAAATTCTGAATTCTTGTCTCATATTTATCTTAAACCTAAATGTCTTCAGTGAACAACAAAAGAATTGGACTTGCCGATTCAATATTTTAGAATGGACAGTGTACATATATATATATATATATATATATATATATATATATATATATATATATATATATATTGCTTCAAATATTATTTTCAGTGGATAACCGTGTTTGAAATAGACCCTCCTTTGTAGTAGAAATCACCGTCACAGCCCAGCTAGGTTCTTTAAGGAATACGCACAGCTTTGAGTGTATATTTTTTAATAAGTTTTCTCGAGTGTATTGCTCGGTAGACGTAATACACGCTGTTTAAAATAAACTTTAAAAAATGGTCCGTCTATTTTAAACACGGGTATCCACGAAAAATAACGTTTGAAGTAATAAAAATGCCGGATTAAAAATAATTCTATGAACTCTTTGCCCACACACACACACACACACACGCAAACCCATATATATATATCGTCATCCACACACACACACACACATACACACACACACACACACACACATATATATATATATATATATATATATATATATATATGTATATTTATACCAGGAAATAAAAGCCGAAAATTTGATTTCTTGTCTCATATTCATCTTAAATCGGAACGTCTTCAATGAACCCCAAAAACAAAGGAATTAGACTTGCCGTTTCAATATTTTGAATGGGCCTTTTCCAGGGTGAACCTGGCTGTAAAAATAAATATCTCTTCTTTCTCTTTTCTTACTTTTCTCTTTCTTGTCTCGATATTGCTTCTTTGTCTTTTTTTCTCCGCCTCCACTGCCACATGACCATTTATCCCTCCGGCTTAACAACTTTTTTTTACAATTGGATTTGTGCTGGACTAAGCTGGGTTTATCAAATATCCATACATATACAACATATTCAGATGACTGATAATGTGAGAATATGAATTTATGTCGGCATGTGTTTAAAAACATAACAATCTGTAAAATGAGTTGTCCAAACAAGCTTTACAAAATAAAAGACCAGCTTCAAAAAAGAAACAGAACGAGCAGGATTAATCACAAATGGCCACTTTCTGTAATTTTTGTCTCCAATCCCTACCCCAAGAACACTGGTCACTTTGGCTAAAGCCCTTGT